TATCTACGTATTCTCAAATCATTTTGAAAAAAAATGTCCTTTATTTTACGTTGCTTAATATGGTCACCGTAACCATGCCCCCTTTTTGAATTACGCAATTTTTTCTCCATGAGTATGGAATTAATTTTGTATGCACATCTCGGTGCCAAGTTCCGCAATAAACACCTCCAGAGATATGCAGCATACAAAAGTCAATTTGCATGGGAGTTGCCACAACACCTTTTCCAGTAACTATCATTTTTCTCCACAAGTATTTTATTAGTTTCACATACATATATATGTACATATGTATGTATTTCCATACCAAGCTTGGGTACTTTACCCCAAGCATTTGAAGATATATGTAATATGAAACTTTCAGTCGGTATGGGAGATGCTACGCCTTTTTTCCAAAAAAGTCCATTTTTCTCCGTGAGTATGAATATGATTTCACACGGTGTTGGAAAAATGTTAATTTGATTAACGATTAGCATTTAACGATCAAAATGTTAATCGCGTTTGACTATTAAAATTAATTAGTCGTAATCAACTGTACGATTAATGATTAAATTTTTTTTTAAAGTTTAATTATTTTATTAGTAATACATAAACTGGGAACTTTTGCAAACCTGGTTTGTAAAACGTTTGTTGGTATAGATCTCAATGAAAATTCACACCTCGTTGCTCAGATTGATGAGGAAACACGATTTAGCCATACCGGATTAACTTGCTTTGTTTGCACAAGAAAATTCCAGCATAAATTAATTAATCACAAAACGTACTTGATCAAATTAAGAGTTAATGATTAAGAATTAATTTATTTAATCGCGGTTACGATTAACTGTTTAGTCAGACTGAAATTAATCATGATTAACTGTAATCAGATTGAATTTAATCGAATTAAATAATTGATTTAAAAATCAATCGACTAATGCCAGCATTGATTTCACATACATATCTCTATACCAAGCTCCAGTTCTCTCCCACAAATACTTCCAAAGATATGTATGTAATATGAAAATTCCAATTTGTATGGGAGGGGCCTGAGTTATCGGAATTACTTTCAGTCTAAGACCATCCCTGCGAAATCCGTAGTAAGTGTACCAAATTTCGTTCTGATTTGGAAACCGGTTAAGGATGTAGCCTATTTTTCAATCCAGGTCATAAACCATCTGTGAGCAAAATTGCATTTTCACACAGGTGGTAATTCTTGAAAAAGTAGCCTATTTTCCAATCCAGGTCATAAGCTATCTGTGTGCAAACTTTCATGCAAATGAGTTCAGTCATTTCCGCGTATTAATTGAATTAAACTTTTCTCATAGGTGGAAACTCTTAAAATAGTAGCCTGTTTTCCAGCATAGGTCATAAGATATCTCTGTGCGAAATTGCATGCAAATCTGTTCAGTCGTTTCCGCGTATTAATTTAATTAAACTTTTTTTAACAGGTGGCAACTCTTCCAAAAAATTAGCCTGTTTTTCACTGTAGGTCATAAGCTATATGCTTGCAAAATTTCATGCAAATCCGTTAAAACGTTTCCGCGTATTAATTTAATTAAACTTTTTTTAGCAGGTGGCAACTCTTAAAAAAGTAGCCTGTTTTCCAGCCTATATCATAAGCTATCTGTGTGAAAACTTCCGTGCAAATCAGTGCACCAATTTCCGCGTATTAATTAAATTAAACATTTCTAACAGGTGACAACTCTTAAAAGAGTAGCCTAGTTTTGAACCTAGGTTATAAGCTATCCGTGTGCAAAATTTAATGCAAATCCGTTCAGTCGTTTCCGCGTATTGATTTAATTAAACCTTTTTAACAGGTGACAACTCTTAAGTAAATTAGCCTATTTTCCAATCTAGATCATAAACTATCTGTGTGCTTATTTTTATGGAAATCCGTTCAGTCGTTCCCGCGTGATGATTTCCCAAACATCCAAACATACAAACTTTCACATTTATAATATTAGTAAGATTAGATATACACGAACATGAGCACATTTATAGGCAGGTAAAACTCATTAAATGCATTTTCCTTAATAACTAAGCTAATATCTGACTTTAGTGAAAAATTAACTTACTGCCATATTATCAGTTGTCTAGTGTACAGCCTAAAAGCTTTGAAATGATAAAATGTCACGGTTGAATTTTAATGGTAACAAGTAATTTTTAGCAAAACAAAACGACTTAAAGAAAATATATATAAAAATATATATACTTCACGATTCAATGATCGGATCATATTAGTATGAGGCCACCTCTGAGACACCACCTTTCCGATGCAAAAAGAATTCTCGAAATCGGTTGACGTGGTCCAAAGTTATGCGGTAACATACATAGGAAAAAAAAACATATATATATATCGTCGTTTAAAGTACAAAACCGCGTATCGTCATTCTGCAAAACCGCATAACTAACATTGGCTGCCAAAAATTGGATTTGCTGACACAAGCTCTTGGCTCATTCCTTATCCATTCGTCCTGAAATATACTAGCCAGAAATGCGAGTGCTTTATAAAAAAGAGAACCATTTTCAAATATGAGTGCTTTTGCCCTCTATAAAATAATTTTTACACTTCACATACGCGGTTTTGCCTTTTGCTGATACGCGGTTTTGCATTTTGTTGATACGCGGGTTTGCACTTTAAACGACGATATATATATATTCCGACGAACTGATAACCTCCTCCTTTTTTGGAAGTCGGTTAAAAAGTGCCTAAAACCTCAATATCTCAAATTCGTTCTGAGTGTACTTAATGAGTTTTACCTGTCACCCCACGACATATCCTATAAAAAAGTAGTCCGCAATCAACGACTCCATAGGCTTCTAAATACATATTGAGTTTTAGAAGTTGATAAAATTTGTCTTCAATATAGGATCCGTCCTTTGGAGTTATAAGAATTTGCATTCAGGATCGTATCAGTTACCCAAGAAACATATCGTTGGCTTATTTCGCAAACGTGCTAAGTCCACTTTTTATGAAAACTGAGATTACTTACTGCATGTAAGATAGCATAACTCAAAATACATCATTACCAAAAAAGAAAGTTACCGTAATGTCGTTCTTACTTGTTGTTATGCATTGGTACGCAAATGTGCTAAGTCCAAAAAAAATCAAGAAAAAATATAAACACGTCTGTCCGTGTACACAATAACTCGAGATATCTCAACGAAATTTGGTATGTAGGTTGCCCTTTATCCAAGGTAAGTTGGTATTAAAAATGGGCGAATCGGACTGTAACCACGCTCATTTCCGATATAAAGGTATTTTCTAAAGATGCAAAAACTACGATATTTCAGTAAATATTGGATGCAAATTGTTCAAAATTAGTATGTGAAGTAGAATTTTTTGTAAAAAATATTATTGTGCAATTTTTGGAAAATGGGCGTGACCTCGCCCACCTATTATGAAATATATCTCAGTAGCCCATTCACCGATCTCCACTAAACTCGGTACGAGCCTTATTTAGGGTCTAACTAAGAAATCTGTTGAAAATCTTTAAAATCGGGCAATGACTACGCGTATCTACTAAAGCTAATTCAATTAAAATCGATGATCTCGATAGAAAATTAGATTATGATACATTTTTGGATAATGGGCATGGCGCCGCCCACTTATGACCGCAAAAGTGTAACTCGGTAACCGATTTATAAATTTCTTCCAAACTCGGTGCACTTAATAAACCTGGTACGGAAAAGCAATTCGTTGAAAATTATTCAAATCGGACCAAAATTACATTCGCTTTCCGTATATCTAACGGTAATTTTCAGAAATGCGAAAACTCTGATATTTTAATAACTGACGACGCCAATTTACTCCAAGTTAATACTTACAACAATCTCTTAACAATAATTAAGACTGCATGACACCGCCCACTTTATGACTACAAGGTGTATCTCGGTAGCCAATTTAGCGATTTCTACTAAACGTGGTTCAATTATGTCATTGAGTCTAACTCAGGATATTATGGAAAACGTTTGAAATCGGGGAAAACGCCCCTGCTTACGACAGTATTTGATACCTGCGCCGGGTATGTAAAATTCGGTTTCGCACAAACTTACACCTCTTTACTTACTTCAATTATTTTCTTTAATAAATGGTACATAAATTTACGACTTAAAATAGTTATTTTTCTAGTAGCAATGAAATAAAATTGTATTAGGTTATAATTTATTTTAAAACAATAAAATATATTTAAAATAAACAATTAAATCTTTTAGCAATAAAAAATAATGGAAAAAAGGTTGATAGAAAATGTGCTAAGTTCACATTAAAAGAATAAAATCTTAAATAGAAAATGTGGTAAGTCCCAAAAGTGCCTATAAGTCTGCAACAGCTTTATTTTGAAATTGGCCGATTATTGGTACTAAAACAAGACGAACTAAGGAAGAAAACTGCATTTACAGATTAGAAAAATATTGACAACAAAAAAAGTTAGACGGTTTTTTGTCCCTCCTGAAAAAAAAATGGACTTATCACGTTTGCGAACTAAGCCAACGATATATATTCTTTATTTCGTTGTTGGTGTTTCCGACAGGGTAGGAGTGTGATGTAATGTGGAACGATTTTCCATCATCCCTTAACAAATTTGGTTTGGAGACAAACCGGTTTCGGCGTTGTGCCATCTTCAGTGTCATTTTTCTTTCTGAATAGCTTTTGTTTGTCTGTCACTATTTATAGCCGTGTTAAATCGTCGTTGGTTCATAGTTAGGTACGTCTCAGCGGATTATATTCTTCCGTTCAACCAGTAGTTTCAGTTCTGTGTGTACATCCTCAGGTAGAAATTAGTTGCTCACCTCTTTTTTTATTAGTTGTTGCATGGATTCGGAGGTAGGTAAAAATCCGTTATTTTCTTTCTCTTTGCTTCTGTAGTTTAGACCTGCATTTCATTGTTTATGGTAGTTGCAGGGTTTCTGTTTTGTT